GGCCGATAGCCGTCATTTCTTGCTTGCCTGTCTCGACAGCTGTCTTGTTGACTACCTTGTGTAGCCACGTAGGTATACTCTTCCAGTCTTTGCGAATCGAGAAGGACAGCTGTGCTATCAATCCGTCCAATCGGTTGAAGCGTGTTGCATATTCGGTGTCATCCCAGGATGTACGAGACAAAGACAAACGCTGGTTTGCGAGGGTGTTCTGTAGCTGATGGACCTGTGATTGCTGCTCGAAAAAGTATCGCTTGACCTTTTGGTACTTTTCGCCTGTATTATGTTAGATGCAATCGGCTCGTCCAAAGAGAATGTACTCACGTAAAACGTCGTGCTCTTTTTGTAGCTTCTCAATCTCCTCCTCTGACATATCGGCGACAGATGTCCTCGGCGGTGGCGTTGCCCGTCCCATTTCTGAGACCTGCTGGGGCTGCTTCTCACCGCGGTATGGCTGTCCTTGCGAAGCTGTTGGAACGACGTTAGCGTCGAATGTTGCCAGGCCCGGCGACACGGGCGGCTGACCGTGGGGCTGACCTTGAGCGGGAGGCTGTGAAAGCATGGACGACTCTCGCGACGTTGCGCCCGGCTGTGGTTGGCTGCCATCGTTCGCTTTCCTGATGGTGTTCCTAGCACTGCTCTGAGCACTAGGCGCCATGTTGTCGTGCGCGTGCGGGGGTGTTATGTTGGTCGGTAGTAGATCGGACGACTGGGGATGCTGCGCGTCGTAGGGCTGGTGGGACGGCGGCTGGAGGGGAGACGGCGGGGCGAGCTGGTGGGACGAAGGGGGACGGCGCTGCGACTCGATCGACTGGGCCTCTTGCGCGATCTGAGGATGCTGGCGAGACGCCTGTGGGGGCTGCAGGTCAAGCTGCTGCTGCGAGGCTGGCCGGCCAGGTTGAGGCTGTTGCTGCTGGTCTTGATGCGGCTGAAGCTGCGACGCAAACTGCTGCGGATAGAGCGTGTTCTGCTGCGCGTTGTCTAGCGGCGAGTGGCCCTGGGCCTGGAGTTTAGCTTGCTGCTGTTGGTACAGGTAGTAAGTTTGCTGGATGTCTTGCGAGACTGGGCCACCTTGGCCGTGCAGCTGAGCGTTCTGGAGCAGAGGGCTTGGCACGGTTTGTGGGTTGAAGGCCTGGTAGTCGCCCGGGGCTTGTGGGTGCTGGACAGCTGGCTGGTAGCTCTGGTATTGCTGTTGCTGTTGCTGTTGCTGGTGCCGTGGCTGCTGGAGACCCTGGCCCTGGTGTTGCTCAGGGCTGTATTGGTCTACCCCGCCTTGGGTCGAATAGCTGCCCTCCGTGCTTACCCTGTCAAGTGGGGGCCGATTGTACGGCTGCTGTTCCTGACGCGGCTGCGGCGCAAACTGCTGAGGCTGCTGCAGGCTCTGTTGGTACTGAATGTCCTTGGGCGGTACCTGGGGCGTATCGTCTTTCTGCAAGAAGGGGTCGAGGTTGTCTTCGTCTTGCTCGTTCGAGGCGGGCAGATGAGCAGTCGACCCTTGGTGCTGGTGCCACTGCTGCACACGGCTCTCTTCCTGCGCCTGATACTCCTGCGCGCGGGGGTCGCTCTTCCGGACTGACTGTCGCCTGCCCAGACCGTTCTTCTGTGCTTTGGCTTCCTGGTCTTTGTGCCCTTTGACTCCGGCTGCGATGCGACTGCGCAGCGATGGCTTCTTGGCTTCTGGCGTGTATGCAGAAGGCGCAGGCTGGGGCTGATAGGGGCCGCGATGAGGCGATTCAGCACCAGACACTGGCGCGGGGCCGGGTTGTTGCTGGTAAACCTGCGACGGCGACGACTGACCCAGAGGGAGATGGGCACTCAACCTGTGACTTGTCGTGCGCTGAGGAAACTGTTCTCTATATTGGCTCTGCAGCGGAGCGCCAGCCGAGACCTGCTGTTGTTGCACAGGAGGCTGCTGAGCCTGTACAGGCGCCTGCTGGCTGTCTGAAGTATGGTATCGCTGCGCGGCGACGTGCTCGTTCACTGCCAGCGCTTGCCCGTCAGCGGCGCCGGCGATTGGGCGCCCAAATGCTTCCTTACCAGGTGGTACGGGCGAATGCTGCCCTGACGAGGAAATGTCGACAGATTGGTGCGACCGATTCGACTTGGTCCATGGAAAGTTAGGCATCGCAGTGTTGACTGCTTCAAGCTCCGCCTCAGAGCAGGTTGTCGATGGCGGGGCGGAGACGACGCGCTCAGCTAATAATAAAACGAGACTGAGCAACCATAGACTATACCCGGGTAAGACTGCATCGCGCGGTTGGACAGCTTTCCTCAAGTACAATGCATCGAGCTACATAGATGCACGGCGTAGGTGATCAGCCCAAGCCGCCGCACGTGCAGGCATGCGGAACTAATGGAATGGCATGGAGAAGGCAAGACCAGTCCCGGTGCAGCTAACACCGGACCAAGTTGCTGATATCGCGAGCCGTGGCAGTGCTGCTATTGCCAATTCCCTGCAGGCTGGCTCTAACTCCTTTCTGCTGTTCAAGGCTTCCAAGGCGCAATCGACGTTTCGTCTTTCCCGTTCTGTGCCTGCACTCCCGCATCCCAGTGACACAAGGAGACGGCAGCAAACGTCGCTGGATCCAGATACATACACTGTGCCCATAGCCCGGCGGATGGAACCTGCAAACAAGAACGCCAAGTGGGGACAGCAGCTGTTAGTCTAGGCGGCGTTGCAAGCCCTCCTCTGCTCAACGTGCCTGAAGCTGCAGCCGCCCCTGCGTATCGCCTGGGGTATGCAAACTATACATATCGCGTCTCATTATTGTACACTGAGTGGTTTGCTTTTCTTGTGCGATCGTGACATTTGCGACGTGTTCGAAGAGCTCAATGCCTAGAGTGGCAGATTGCATCATCACTATTACGGACTATCTCAAAGCGAGCGGATTTGCATCATCGCGCTCCTGTTCCCTCAGCTCCGAAAAATGTCATGGGGCTATTTTTGGCGTCTGACATGTGCTAGCCGCGTTAGACTAGCTTGCCTTTCCTTTCGGTTCTGATGCCTGTGTAAGGTTTCCTAAGCTTCCACGTTACACCACTTTCACACAAATCTCAACACAAGGCTGAGGTCTCGAAAAGCTGACCATCAGCCACTTCATGCACGCAATATAGCCAAACTCAATTGTCGGTCTCTCCGACACCTCACCGGCATTGACCGGACAACGAACCACGCGAGCGTATGCCGGTGAGGCGGTTATGCACGCCTCCTTGGAGGTGCGTGGGGACTACTGTATGCGCAAGTGCGGCGCTGCCAGGAACGATCTCTGTATGAGACATTGTTACGCGCTTCTCTTCTCGATCGTACTTCTAGTATTGATGCAATGCCGAATCATCTCGCAAGAGGTATGCTAGGAGCTTACTCAGACCATAGGTAAAGCGAACCCTGATATTCGCACGCGCGCGAGTTTAATTTTTACCGCAATACTTCTCAACAAGAGCAGATTCTCATGTCGGTACCGTATGGATTGCGGAAGTTGTAGGTAGCTCGTCGTCACGGATCATCGCGCTACCACTGAACGACAACCAAAATGTAGCCTTGTGATCTCGCACAAAGCGTCTATAGGCAAACTTGGACTACGATTAAGTGAACTTTCAATCACTACGTAATGGGATTGCGCAATTCTTAGTGCCGTTGCCCGAAACTTCTCCACTGAAACTTTACGGGCGTTTTCCTTACTACGACCACTTCAATACAAACTACAGATTTCTCCAACCTTCTCTCTCGACCATGGCCGATCAACAGGTGTTCCGATTTCTCGATCTACCAACAGAACTGCGCTTGATGGTCTACAATTTACTCCCGGTCAAGACGAAACACCATGTCGTTCGTACCAACGATTTTGCTTTCTGGTTCAACAACTCTCACTATCACTCTACTCACTTACCTGAGCGTTTTCTCGAAGAGGGAGCACATTTCCAGACTCCCTCCTCGAAATGGCCTGTATACTCCATGACGATAGTTTCCAAGAAGATCCCTGGCCTAGCTATCCTCGGTACCAGCCAAAAGATCCATCTAGAAGCTGGTGAAGTGCTACATCCAAAGTTACGAGCCATCAGCAAACTACCAGCACAGATTATCGTCAACAGTATCTCTCTCGGCAGTCTCGCGATGAATGATGTGGTGACTCGATTGTCATACGCAAACACAACCTACTGGACCAACAAAAGCCGTCTCCTGGACTGGCGCGTAGCAGCACCTGAGTTGCGCCCAGGAAACGAACCCAGATCTCGACCCGTTCACGTAGCCATACGCAATTTGTTCATCGACAGAGACACAGCCGACGCATCGACAGACAACTTCAGGATGCAGTGCCTGCGGAACTGCTTCTATTGGTCACTTAGACTTGAATCAGCCATACATGCCGCGAGCTGCCCTACAGATGGCTCCTTCCCGCACATTGACCAGCATTTACATCTCCGTATGGCTGGATTGACTTCGCAGGAGGAAAAGGCTTACGACACATTTCGACCTCTGGACCGTGAAAGTTTTGGAAGATGCTGTCGTTGCAGGTCTACCTCGCTCATCGACAGCGGTGAGATAATTGGTGAAGTGGAATGGGAGGACGAATGGGCGGAACATGAGAGCTACCAATAAGGGCTATGATCGTCGGATAACGCAGAAGAGAAGTAGTATTACACATGAGGATGTCGAGCTGAATACTACTACTCAATCTTGGCGAGCAACCATCGATAACAATGGACGCTGAGAATGGAACCTGAAAAGATACTCGAGAACGACTTCCGTAGCAGTGTCAGTCGCGCCACACAATACACTAATCTCAAAGTAATCTTACCTTCACTTCTACTTCGGGTCTGTGCGCCCACTGATTGTACTGCGCCTAAATGGCACTCGTTTTCCATTCGTACCTCCCACCACACCGCATTAATACATTACCCAGGTTGACCCAAGCGCCGTACCCTCCAGCAAACTAACGAGGTCTTTATACGTCGAAGTCATGAAGGTATCAACCACCGACCTACCTCCGCCTCAGACTGCCACGATGGAGTCATCAGAACAACCACGCCGCCCATTATCCACTTTACTCTACCCAAGAACAGCGGATGCGCCGTCAGCATACGGAACATCACCCCAACTCCCGACAATCCCACAAGAACCTGAGGCGCTATCATACCCACCTTCACCACCGTCAAACGCGCATCAAGAACATCCAACACCACCCTCACCACCAACCTCCCCACCCCTCATCGTCATCCACCCCGCCCCAGAACCCACCCCACCCACCTCACCAACCTCGCCTTTCCCAGAAAGTCTCCCACCGCGCCCCCAACCCGCACAAAACGGAACCCTCATATCCCGCCTCTTCAAGCGCGCACCCGCCCACCCCGATGACATAGAGCTCGGTCCGCTTCCTCAGTCTCACCCACAAGAGACTCCTGTTACGGACGCGGAGAAGGAACGAGAGTACAGGAGGAAGAAGGTGTTGTTCATTTATATGATTTGGGGAGTGCTTCTCGTGCTTGCGATATGCGGGATGGTGGTTGGAGCGCAGATGTATAGGGGGAAGGTTGGTGATGAGGGTGGTGGTGAGAAGGTTAATAACTTTGAGGTTGTTGATGAGAGTGGGGAGGTCGTGGGAGGTGGAGGATGATGGGGAATTGTGGCTGGTTAAGGGACGTACATTGAGTTGGAAGCACGTGGGTTGAAGCACTGTAGACGCCATACTTTCATAACAAAGCTACTGACCAGGTACTTTCATGATAGAGGATAGAATGATAAAAGGTAGTTAGCTTCACGAAGACATGGTGCGAGAAGGTCGCGCTGGATAGGCTTTGTTCTATAGATCCTATAATAGAAAAGGGAAGAATTTGCTCAGTCTTATCCAATACTCTAGATGACCTTGCATTTCAGGAATTTGCGTTCGAACGCCTCGAGACCTGGCCTAGATGCTCTTTCACTTTCGCTTTCACGGCCGCCCGCTCTTTTCTTGTTAAGCTAGCTCCCGAGGTCTCGTCTACCTTCGCGCAAAGACTTCTTCTATCCACTACCAGCTGCGCAAAGACTACGGCATCTACACTGCTATCTCCTACGCCGCAAGGCCTGTTACCCTACGGTATGTCTAATAGTCTTCGTTCTAATAGTTCTGCAGAACAGTCGCTCTCATTTACTATAGACGACTTCGATAGTAAGACAGATTATAACGAGGACCTCGACAGCTTCTACGACTATAATTACGGCGACTTCAACGACGATGAGAATAGTTCCAATCAATACAATCACTTCTACGGCCGACACAACACCTACAAGTCCAGCAAGTTCAACAAGGTCGCATCCGTTCCACCCAATCCGCCCACCATGTCCTACGAGCATCATTTGCGCCACTACAAAGTAAACCCCGACACATTTTCCCGCGCTGTCCGGTCCATCGTCTGCTTAGTCTTCATAACCGCCTTAGTCCTGGTAACATCGCTCTTACCAGAGACAACAATCTCCTCAGTCAAACTCATGGGCTTCCTGCTGGTCAAGACTGCACTAATTTTGCTCAACATAGCTATTTTCCTGCTCAAGATTAGCTGCAAAATCTTGTTCCATCTTATATTAGCGGTCGTGTTCAGAAGGTGATGAGAGATCATGAGGCGAACGGCTGGAAACAAGCATAAAGGGAGAGAGACGATAAGACACGAAGGCATTAGAGGCAAGAAATTGAGATGAGTTGGATTTGTTCAGGGTCAAATGCAGATTGCTTCAACGTCCATGGCGTGCTTCCAAGCGTTCGGATCGATCGAGACGAAATCGAATTTACTAAATGGCATCATTTGCTGTTTATACATAAACTCGAAACACGTACTCAATCTCATCCGACAGTTCAGGTGATCTCACAGTCCAGAAAGTCGCGTTCAGATCTGGTCCAGGCGCTCTTTCCTCTTCACGTTGCCCAGGTGCCGCCTGCTCACTATTCCCTCGTTGCGCTAGCTCTCTTATATACCACAGCTCAACCACTGCCACCTATTGCTGACTGCGCAAGATCCAACTATCTACACTGCCCCGGGCCATCTACCACGCTGCCATGAGTCTGTTGCCCACTAACACCACTGTAACGATCCTTCCTAACTTCCCAGCAGAACGGCCACTCTCACCCGCCATGAACACCCCCGATAGCGAAACCGACTATCCCACGGACAATATCCTCTCGAGCACAGGGTCTGACGAACGCTGCGGCGACGACGATATCTGCGGCGAAGGTGACTTCTGCGGTAACGACTCCGACTCCGATCACGGTCACACTCACACCACCTACATCAAGATCAAGTCCAAAAACGGCGCATCTAGCCGGGTGAAGCCGCCCACCGTCTCTGTCAAACATCGTTCGCCTCATTCCAGAGTAAAGCGCCGTGATTATACCAGTGACCGCGAGTTCACCGTCTGCTTCCTCATGATCCTGGTCATTCTGGCACTCTTGTTTCCTGAGGGAACATCTGTTTCCTTCAAGGTTATGGGCTTCGTACTGGCCGAGATTACATCAATTCTGTTCGAGGGAAAAATTCTCCGGTTTGTATTAGCTGTAGTGTTGTTTGTTGCGGCGTCCGTAAAGCGGCAGGGCTGAAAACAAGCAGAATGGGAGAAAAGGAGCAGGAGACAAAGAACAAGGGTGTCGAAGGAAAGGAGATGAAATGAGACGTACTTGTTCTTATTCAAAGGGAACACAGATTGCTTCCACGCGCAGGCATCACGGAGACAGAATCGAAGTTACTAGATGGTATCATTTGCTGTAAATGCATGAGTGGAGTGAGTCGACTATTACTGGGTCTCCTCTACATATCCCAAGGCCTCTCCAACCTTGACCTTCATTCCTTGTTCAATGTTCCACTTGAACCCACCTTTCCTCTCCATACCAGTGAAGCCCTCATCGAGGCTGGGTCTTATGCCCTTTGGCGCCTCGAACACCAAAACGATGGTACTTCCTAGCTGGAATCCACCCATCTCCTCACCGCGCTTGAGGGAATAACCTCCCAATACGCGACTAGCGGAGGTGTAGGAGGCCTCAGCAAAGCCGGAGTAGGGTTCTCCCCTCGCTGCAGCTTCTTCCGCGGCGCGGTCAGCGGCAGTGTCGGTGGTGAGGCTGTTGGTGCGGAGTTCGCGATCGAAGTTGATCTTGATAGATCCGACGTTGGTCGCGCCGACTGGTGTGTAGGAGAAGAAACCCCAGCGCCAGCGACCGAGCAGGACAACGCGCTCGTTCAAGGTGAAAAGACCGGGCATGGTGCGTTGTAGGTATGGAGATACACTGTATAGTTCACCGGCGAAGTGACGGCGCGACTCGACGACCCATGATACCGGAGAGTGGAAACGGTGGTAGTCGCCTGGAGCGAGGTATACGACACAGTAGTAGAGCGCGGTAGGTGTCTTATTGGATGCCGGTGCCCACCAAGGTCGCTCAGCTTCACTCAAGGCCATCTCGGCGCGTACTTCGGCTTCTGAAGAAGCAGCAGGTGCGGTAGACTGGTCCGTGGGCATTTCAGATGGCTTCCCGCCTTTGGGCCAGGGTCCAGAGAACAGGTTGGGTAAGGTATACGAGATACCGTTCACGTTTGCGAATTCCTCGTCTGCGCGGACAGTATCCTCTTCGTCCTTCGCTGTCTTCTCATGCTCGCTTGTGACGACCTGAGAGTTCGCGACGTTTTGGGCGGGTGTGCTGGGCTTGGTGGAGCCTAGAAGCGCATCTAAGCTGTATGTCACGCCTTTGACTTGTTCGACTTCGCCGTGCTCGATGGTGCCGAATTGGATGACTTTGCCGTCTGCGGGAGAGAGGACGGCGTTGGGGTTCGGGTCGAGAGGGCGGACTCCGGGTTTTAGGGTGCGGTAGAAGAAAGCAGCGAGATTGGGGTAGACGTGGAGATCGGGCTCGGAGACTTCAGAGAGGCTGCGGCTTGTTAGCATGGAGCATCGCTACTGGGTGGTAGTTGCTGACTTGACACCGAAAATCCAAGAGTAGAGTTTAAAGCCGGGTACGCGAAGGTAGTATGGAATGTCGATTTCGTTGAAGCGTCCCCAAACTCGCGAGAGGGCCTTGAGAGGTAGCGTGGACATGACCTGAACAGTCCATGGCCCGCTCGGCCGTATCCTCTCGCGCCTCTTCGGTCGGCCCTGGTTGTCCACTGCACCTTCCTCGCCATTCTGTCTCTCAGCCTCGGTGTGCTTCTCCCTTCGTTGTATGCGATAGAGCTGGAATGCGCCGAGGAAGCCGACGCCGAGTGCAATTGGTATTGGCTCCCATTTTATCTTGGTGTTCTTGAGTGCGGAGTTCAGCCGTGACCTGAAAGACTCTTTCCTGTGGAAGTTCTGCTCATATGTTGCGCGCGTGGAGGAGAAGGTGCGAGACGGGACGGAGAGGCGCGCCTGTCGGTGTGTGGGCGTCTGGAATCGCGGACGGAGAGGGGCTCGCATGAGCTGGCGCGAACAGGAAGACGCCATGGCTATGTTGTATGCATTGGTCTCGAGTATTGCAGTGCAGAAGACGGCCAATTCCCCAGCGACGAGATGACGGCTATGGCGTCGCGTGGTGGGAAAATCAACTTCCTCGGTTGACCAATGACGTATCCATCGGCGACAGGGCTCTAGCGCGCAACGGCGTCTACCGCTGGACATGGACAGTTCAATGCATCGCGTGCGCAGGTCAAGCTTCTCGAAACATCCAAAGTCGAGGCGGCACTGACGCTCAGATTATCCGCCTGGACTTCATAGCAGATGGCAGGCGCGACCGTAGTCCTAAGCTGATACCAGGCTCTAATTCGGACACGTCGTCACTTCCCGACTTCCACCTGCACTCTTCACCTCGCACCATAGTCCCTCACTACACACAGCGGCCATGGCGGAAGAAGCGCAGACAGTCAACCTCAAGATCCTTTCACCCTCGTCTGACTTCGAGGGTGGTGTGAACCTCGCAGACGTCCCCGCTTCCACCACGGTCAAAGAGCTCCGGAGCCGCATACAGGATGCCGCGCCCTCGAAGCCTGCCCCAGAGCGCATGCGCCTCATCTACCGCGGCAGAGTAGTGGCCAATGATGCCGATACACTGAGCAACGTGTTTGGCGTTGACAATGTAGGGTCGCCAACCACGTGCAGTAGACCCACGCTGATGGTGAATACAGCTACGTGAGAACAAGGACCAGAGCCTCCACTTGGTACTGCGGGAGCTCCCGACTACTGGGAACCCTCCAACGTCACCTACGCCACGATCCGCGACTGTCCCGAACCCTTTCCGCCCTGCGCAAGCCCCGGCTGTACCCGCAAACCCTCTGCAGACGAACCCATTCCGCGCGCTGCCACAGGCTCGACCGCACTCGCTCCCACCACTACCACCGCACCACCATCATATCCCGGGCCAAGCAAACGCGGTTCCCATCCCTCTCCCTCTTCCCCCACAGCTGCAACAACAGTTCACGCAGGCCATGGCGCAACAGGGACAGCAGAATGACGAGCAGACCCCAGACTCGACATCTCAGCAGCCAGGACCAGACGCACCGAGACCCGCGGATGTCGCCCAAGGACTGCCCAATCTCCCTGGAAATGGCGACCAACCACTACGACGCGAAGGCGTGGGTCCCAACGGGGCGCGATGGACAGTCACATACAACCAGGTCAATATACCTGCGCAGATTCGACAGCCTGTTCCTGCATTCGGTCTTGCTCCACCGCTAGCGTTTGGTCGTCCACCGGTCCCGCCAGGCGTTATTCCCTCAATGGGCCACGACAGTACCCAGCGCTTGTTGCCACGCATCCAGACAATCTTCCAGGAAGCACAACGCGAGATGGAAAACGTGCGAACCTTGCTGCAGCCTGCGCGCCCATCAGAGACACAGACTGATCGACTTTCAATTTCAAACACCTCTCCCCTGAACCTACCGGTTTGGCGAATTGACCACATCCGTCAACACCTGAACACCATCAACCAGAACTTGAACGTTGTCGAGCGGGCCCTCGCCCTTCTCCCTACAGAACCCGAGGTGGTAGCGCTGAGACGCTCAGTAACCGAGATCAGAGTGGACGCACTAGAGTTGAACATCATACTCGATCGTCAACAAGGCGGAAGCCCCAGTCGATCAAGCATGTCCACAGCCATCAACACTCCGATTCTCGGACCTTCCTCTAGCACCATACCAGGCGCCCCGGTTATGACTCCAGCTGTGCCTACTACATCTCAACCACGGACCCAGAACACTACCCAGGCAATGCCTACAGATGCGCCAACGGAGTTGTTTCTTTTATCGAGCCCTCAGGGCCCGGTTGGCGTTCTATTTGACCAGCAAGGCACATACACCACTGCCCCCATGGTCTCGACACTTCCATTTCAGAGTTTTACGAACCAATTTGCTCAGAACAGACAGCTCCTCAATGGACTTGGACAGCAGATAGCACGGGGGAATCCGCCCCCTAACCTTGAGCTGCACAGGCAACTAGCCAACATGAGCCAGACCCAACGTCGGGACTGGATCCAGAATCAAAACCAAATCCAAAACCAGAATCAGAATCAAAATCAGGATCAAGATCAGAATCAGAACCAAAATCAGAATCAGAACGCGAACGTAAACGTAAACCAACCAGAAGAAAACGATCGTATGGTCAACGTCGCTGGGCATATGTGGCTGATCTTCAAGCTGGCAGCATTCGTTTACTTCTTCTCAGGAGGTGGTGGCCTCTATAGACCTATCATGCTTGGTATCGTCGCAGGTGTGGTTTACCTAGCACAAGCCGGCATGTTTCAAGAGCAGTTTAATGTTGTTCGTCGTCACTTCGAGGCTCTTCTCCCTGTTGGAGCCTTGGCCGAACGCGTGGCTCAGCCCAACAACCAGCGCCAAACGCAACATCGAGGTAACCTATCACCCGAGGAAGCTGCGAGGAGAATACTGCAGCAGAGGAGAGATCAGAGATTTGGATGGGTCAGGGACAGCATGCGTACAATCGAACGCGCTTTTGCGCTGTTTGTTGCCAGCTTGTTTCCTGGTGTTGGAGAGCGGATGGTCCACGCGCAAGAGGAGAGGGAGAGACTCGAAAGGGTGGCAGCTCGAGAAGAGAGGGAACGCCAGGAGGAAGAGGCGAGAAGAAGGGAGGAAGAGGCCCAAGCACAGCGCGAGCAGAGAGACCAAAAGAAGACCGAGGCCGATCTCGAGCCACAAGATGAGTCGAATGCAAGTGTAGGCACCAAGGGCAAGGAGAGGGCAGCGACAGAGGAAGAGGCTACTGCTTCGGGTCCTTCTTCATGATTTTATAAAGCGACATCATTACACGGAAGTAGCAATGCTCAGACAGATACCCTTGCATGAAGTCAATACATATTTCATTCACATTGCACCCTGGAATATGTCTCATCCGGTGCTACCTACCAAACCTGGGTGCCACATCAGTCTTGTATACGCTCGCCGGCAGTGAGCTATATAGTACGTGGAGAGTCTATCATACCTTCAGTCCGATCATATTATTTCAAATCATGTTCCGGTATGGATAATCTCTGTCGGCGGCGATGCAGAATATTGCGAATGTCTGACCCGGGGCGCGCCTGCCATGTTAGACAAGGGTCCATACTAGCGCACAACCAGCTAGCTTACCTCCACACGTGGATTGATGCACCGAGTAGCTCTCCGGCACCTCCATCTTCTTTCCTTTTTGCCTAACATCGCATCACAGGATCGGGTCTTAGAAACATTCTTTTCGGAGCCCAGCGAACAGGCCGTGCTTGCTCTACATATTCGACGCTGCAGACCACATACGGTTAGCCACACTATGCCGGCGGCTTCCAGTCCAGGCAGAGGAACAGCTGTATATCATCGCGCAACATAGAGAAGCGTCAAAGAATGAATGCCAAACAAGCGGCATGTCTGAATTGCCGCAAAAGCAAAATCAAGTGTCGGCGCGAAGAAGGCGCGCCAGTATGCGAGCGTTGCCAGAACGTCGGGATTGAATGCATAATTCCCGAATTTCACATTGGTCGGCAAAAGGGCGTGAAGAAGTAAGTGGTGAGACATGAGGGCAAGAACTAGACTGACTGTTTTATAGCAAACGATCAGGCCTAGAGAAGGCAATATACCAGGTCGAAGAAGCCATCAAAAAGAGGAAATCAGATGCAGCTACGAGTCAGAGTACGCTGCAGCAACTACAGCAGCTTCTGAACGAGGCGCAAGGGGACGAAGACTCCAATCAAAACCCAAACACATCGCCTGCCTCAGAGGTACATCCTCACATATCGGCGAGTAATCTTGTTGGTACTTCAAGCGACGATCAACTCGCTGTTGAAGATGTCGAGAACCCACTCCAGCTGCTCGCCCGTGCCTCGGATCTGCGGATTGCAACACCACAGTCATATAACCAAAGTACCGCCAGCCCTGAAGACAGGTTCAATGGTAGCCAGCAGAGCGCTTTTCTCGACGTTCACCACTTTTTTCTGCCGATGAAAGCACATCTTGATCAGGGCTCAGGCCTGGATCCCATTGATGTTGGGCTCGTAACCAAAGACGAAGCTGAGATGCTTCTACAGTAGTAAGTCATGTCAAACCTCGGATCTGGACTCAAGAACGTAGCTAACGGAATTTAGCTTCCACAAAAAGCTAGCACACACACGCTGGGGGCTCGACCCTTTGGTACATACATTGCCATTCGTTCGAAACCGCTCTGCCTTTTTGTTCACTACCCTGTTAGCCATGACCGCCATATTCCTACCGGAAACTTCTGCGCTGGCTAAGAGACTACTACTGCACCGTAGATTCCTAGCCGAGCAAGTCATTACCCGAAAGTACAGATCTGTTGAAATCGTGCTAGCTTTCATGGTCAGTATTCCTTGGATGCCTCCAGGGTCCCATGCAAGCGACGACGACACGAGCCTCTATCTAGCTACAGCGCTTTCGATCGCGTTAGATCTTATGCTAGACAAAGTGATAACGCCATCGACATCGTTCGATCAGGAGCTTGTCAGACAGATACCGAAGTCAGAATGTCTTCACGCAAGAAAAGCACTGGCGATGGACGGCTTCGAAGACGTCGACCCAAATTCGGAATGGGGCCAGCGACTTCTTCGCCGCAGAGAAAGGGTCTGGATTTCTTTGTTTGTCTTGGAGCGAGGAGTCTGCCTAGCCCGCGGGCGTAGCTACTGTGTCCCCAAGACATGCCTGATCCAGTACTGCGACAAGTGGCACGACCATCGATGGGGCGATGCTCAGGATGGCCCGCTTGTATCCATGGCAGTCCTCCGCCGCGATCTTGACGACCTTTTTGCTGAGGTGCGCACGCGCTGTGATAACTATCGTCTTGCCGAAATAGGGACAAAGGTCGCCCAAGAAATCGACGGGTCTATCGAGAGCTTCTTCGACAGCTGGTCTCGCGCCTGGCCCTCTGTAATCGCTGATCCGGAGAGCAAAACACTACCTCCATATGTCGAAATCCTTGTTACACACACGCGGCTTTCAACCTACTCAATGCTCCTCAACCATCCTAGCGCACCTCCAGAAGTCAAACGTTCTTTCCGAAAGTCTGCACTATCCTCGGCACTCAACGTTATGCGTGCGGCGATCCAAGGCGAGTCACGTCTCAAATCGATGCCGAACAACACCGTTACGATGATTTGCTTCGCTGCAAGTATAGCGCTCGCTTTGAGTGCACCCGTGCCGGAGGCCGGCGGAAAGCAGAAGAGCCTTGCTCCAAGCGTCCGACATCTTATTGAAGATACCGCAACAGTTCTTGAGCGTATAGGCAGCACACCCATCCACCGGAACGGGGCTTCGGTCGTCTACGGCCGCTTCTTACGCGTTCTCGTTAAGCAGGCGCCGGAGATTGAGAGGCTACCACAATTGCCAGTCCACGATCCTGCACCACCGTCGATGGCCATACCAGATCTTCTATCGCCGTCATACAAGGTGAATGATGCGATGCCTGAAAACCATACGATGGGGCCAGATCCTATATCCAGCTACTGGCCGGATACACTAGACTTCTCAGCCATGTCGTACAACGAAGTCAACGAGACTGTGACGAACTCGGATCTGTTCTCCACAGCGTTACTAGATCTTCCGTGGAACGATAGCAACCCATTGTGGACAGATTGGATGAATCTGCCGGACTTCAACTTCCCGTAAAGTAGCGCGCGATCCAGTTTAACGAGCTCTCGTTATTTTTATGGGCTTCTCAGGAACTCTGAAGGGATCCGAGACAGGCAAAGCCATCTCCCGCTGCCCAGAACCTCGCGTCGGCGCGTGATACAGCGGATGGAGACGGGACGCGTCGCCAAGCGCGAAGGAACTGAGAGAGGGGCGCGACCTCGGAAATCGCCAGAAGCTAAACCTCATGTGATTCCGCGGCAGATGAAGCCCCGCACCAAGCTCGAAAGTCGCTCCATCTTCGGTAGTTGAAATGACGCCGATGGATGTCAAATGTATGACGTTAGAGCTGTTGCGCGGCCCACGCACGCGTCCGATGGCGTTCCTTCGGACAACAGTCGCAAAAGCTTTGCCCATACTCCCAGAGTCGGTGCTTCTTGAGTCTCCTTAACTGATGATTTAACTTCACTGTTCTGCTGCTTTTGTTCACGCGCGTCACAATGGATTCATTACCTTCGTCGTACCGGCTGCTCGCAGCTCTGCCAGCGCGGTTATGTTCACAACGACCTCTCCCCACACAACTACGAGCCGCACGACTCCCACCGCGATGGCGATTCACCGGTCAACTGCGAAGCATCAGTCAAAGCGCTCCCATGATCGACCGCTCTAAATCGAAGCTTTTCAAAGACGCAGATGAAGCGGTCGCAGACGTACAACCGGGGTCCACAGTCTTGAGTGCGGGCTTTGGATTATGCGGTGTTGCAGACACGCTCATCGGAGCGATGAAGAAGCGCGGCCCGCAGTCGCTACACTCCTTGACAGCCGTCTCCAACAATGCTGGAATTGAGGACGTAGGAGGCTTAGCGCTACTTACGAAAAGTGGACAAGTCAAGAAGCTCATCATAAGCTTTCTGGGAAACAACAAGGCATTGGAAAAGCAATATTTGGGCGGTGATATCGAGATTGAACTATGTCCACAGGGTACGCTTGCGGAGAGAATAAGAGCTGGCGGTGCGGGCATCCCAGCGTTCTACACGCCCACCGCTGTCAACACGTTACTACAAGATGGAGAGATCCCCGCAAAGTTCGATAAAGACGGAAAGGCGGTGGGCTTTGGTCAGAAAAGGGAGGTCAGAGAGTTCAATGGCAAGAAATTTCTCATGGAGACTGCATTGACCGGCGATGTTGCGATAATTCGAGCGCACAAGGCCGACGAGGCTGGCAACTGTGTCTTCAGGTAAGAGAGAATTCTCTCTAGTGCTTCGAGCATCGTTTCTGACAGCGGTTGTAGATACACCACCAAAGCCTTCGGTCCCATCATGGCCAAAGCGGCCCGCCTCACCATTGTCGAAGCCGAAGAGATCGTCCCAATCGGTACTTTTGACGCGAACGACATCGACCTCCCCGGCATCTTCGTCGACCGCATCGTTCCTTCCACAGCTCCCAAGAACGTCGAGATCAAGAAGCTCCGAAAACCCGCTGCCTCCTCAGATGCATCATTCAAGAACGAGGCAGCAGAGCGTCGCGACCGAATCGCTCGCCGAGCAGCGAAGGAACTGAAGCAAGGATACTACGTCAACTTGGGTGTCGGAATCCCAACGGCAGCAGCGTCTTTCGTGCCTGACGGTGTGAAGGTGTGGCTACAATCCGAGAACGGCATTTTGGGCATGGGCCCCTACCCGACCGAAGAGGAGCTCGACCCAGACATCATCAACGCCGGTAAGGAGACAGTCACACTCCTGCCGGGCGCCTCAACATTCGACTCTGCAGAGTCATTCGGCATGATTCGTGGAGGCCACGTCGATGTCTCTATCCTAGGCGCTCTCCAAGTCAGTGCTTCCGGCGACCTAGCAAACTATATGGTACCTGGAAAGGTTTTCAAGGGCATGGGCGGCGCCATGGACCTCGTCAGCAACCCAGAAGCTACCAAGGTAGTGGTCGCTACTGAGCACGTCGCGAAGGACGGATCAAGCAAGATTGTTCAGGAATGCAAGCTGCCGTTGACGGGAGCCAAGTGCGTCAGCACTATCATTACAGACATGTGTGTATTCGAGGTCAACCGGAAGCGTGGTACTTTGACGCTTACCGAGACTGCGCCTGGTGTGAGCGTCGAGGATGTCAAGGCGAAGACAGATGCTAGCTTTGAGGTTGCGCCTGATCTTAAGACCATGGAGTAGACATTTTGTGTAGTTTTGGCGTAGTTTTGGCGTAGCATACCCAAGTGATGATCGTTGTCAATTTCCATACACAGCCCACCATGAGTCGTGATGCAACTGTGAGAAAACGCGAACCATGCGACAAAGCTAAAAGAATTGACCGTTTTACGCGTCATTTTGATCGTCGCAGACAGTTTGATCATCCAACAGATGTCTCATGACCCAAACAGAAAAACAAAGCATCGCGATCGCGATAGCCAGATCGTCGGTTACCCAAAGTACAAGCTTGGTTCTTTTGGTCGCTTCCGATAACAGCGCATGCATCACAGCACGCGCAATCTCCAGAACAGGACGTTGCGATAACAGAAAAGAAGCTTCAGACTATATTTCCATCGCACCTGGGCATGCAACAAGACCGTTGACGATCTCCCACGAGAGCGGTGCCTGGGAGATATCGTCGAGTTGGCATACCGAATTTCGGGGGCAGCCAAGCTGTCCAAGTGGGCGGCTGAAATGCTTCGCACTGCTTGGTCCACGCTCCATCCAGCACCTGGGCACAACGAAAAGCTTGGTACCGCCGATCCGCGATCAGCCCTCCACATGCGCATTCATCAACAAACCACAAAACCCACCATGTCATACCTACATGGCTACACTCATCCGAGCTGCTATCCGCGACTCCTCCCTTATCTAATCCACGTCGGATTACAAAAGCCTTCGGAAACAGAATAACATCCGCAGCTCGTACAGCTAACGCCCGAGTCAGTAACGCTGATGTCAAGCCTGCCGATCGCTTGTCTGCCTTAAGAGCGCTATGCATGGTTTGGCATGGTTCAAGCATAAGCTTGGTGCAGTCGGGGTAGCCCTTCACTCGTCGGCAGCACAACTCCGCCAATCGCACAACAGATAATCCCGATTGTGCCGTGACCCTTGCGCCCGCCCCCATGGGGTCAGCATGGGTAGCGCCGTTTCTGGGCAGTTCGGAGGCGGCGGTGGTGTGCGGTGTACATGGCGCTACCGGGAGCCCGTTGAGGAGGGAGGGGGAATAAGTAAGCTCGTCGGTCGCGCACTCGGGGTTTCTTGTCAACGCTTTTCTTGAGCTGCGTTCCAGATTCTGTTTTCTCTGCTTGTACCAATTGGGGTTTCTGAGGTTGTTCAACATGAGCCTGGATAAGATGCACGATGAGAAATTTGAGAATGGGAGTGGGAGTGAGCGGTTGGAGGCGGGGTTTGGTGAGGATGGGAAAGCTGCGAAGACGCTGTTGTTTAAGATGGATGTCCGGTATGTTTAACCTCTTCGATCTACTACATTCATTCAGATGCATGGCGCTGACAAGCACAGCATCCTACCTGTTCTCGCCCTCCTCTTCTTGTGCTCGTTCATCGACCGTACGAATGTCGGCAACGCAAAGATCTTGGGTCTCGAGAAGGACATCAACATCAACGATCACCAATACTCGATCGGCCTATGCGTCTTCTACGTCACTTATATCGCCAGTGAGCTCCCGTCGAACCTGGTGCTGAAGAAGATGTCGCCTAAGATCTGGCTGCCACTCTTGACGGCGGTGTGGGGAATCTTGACAATGTGTCTTGGTTTCGTTACCAACTTCGCGTCATTCGTCACTGTTCGCGCATTGCTTGGTTGCGCTGAGGGTGGGTTGCTGCCGGGTATGGTACTCTACCTTACTGGCTTCTACCGTAGACAAGAGTTGGCTTTGCGCATCGGTATCTTCTACACAGCAGCGTCCCTATCGGGTGCTTTCGGTGGTCTGCTGGCCCGCGGACTCAACGCGATCGGACCTGCTGGAGGTCTTGAAGGGTAAGAGATAACCTCTCACTTCCAACAACCCATATCTAACTGCGTAAATAGTTGGCGATGGATCTTCATCGTCGAGGGCCTCTTGACCGTACTCGTTGGCGTATGCTCCGCGCTCTTCCTACCTAACTCCATCGAATCAGCCAAATTCCTCACACCCGACGAGAAAGAGCACGCTCGATACCGGCTCGGCGAGCAAAGCGCATCCCACGAGCGCTTCGACTGGGCAGAAGTCAAACGCGGAGTATTCAATGTCCAGGTCTGGCTCACTGCATTGGCATACTTCGCCATCTTGAGCGGACTGTACAGCTTCGGTCTCTTCCTCCCTACCATCATCAACAACGGCTTCGCCAAAGACCCCAACGAAGCACAGCTCTGGACCGTAATCCCTTACGCCGTGGCATCAGTCTTCACAGTAGCGGTCGCTCTCCTATCCGATCGTCTTGCCCTACGTGGCCCCATCATGCTATGCACCCTACCCGTTGCCATCATCGGCTACGGCGTCATCAGCTCATCCACCAACCCCAAGGTCCAATACGGCATGACTTTCCTCATGGCAACTGGCATGTACGCAACTGTACCGTGCATTCTCTCTTGGAACAGCAACAACTCTGCTGGCCACTACAAGCGCGCGACTACTTCTGCCTTGCAGCTCGCGATTGCGAACGCAGGTGGTTTTGTGGCCAGCTTCGTGTATCCGAAGAGCGAAAAGGAGAATCATTTTCACAAGAGTCATAGCATCATGCTGGGATTGCTTTGCGCGGCTTGGGTTCTGTAAGTTTTTGAGATATTACTTTTGGCTGGAACTCTTTACTAACATCTTGATAGGATTGCTGCGAATGTTTTGTGGGTACGGAAGATCAACAAGGATAAGGCGAGTGGGAAATATGCTGAGTTTGAGGGTAGAGGTGATGACCGTGACCCGGACTTTATCATGGTTATGTAGATTCATAGTCTATACAGAGCAAAACCATGGACAGTGTACTCCAACTTGCCACGTCCCCATCAAGCGTGCACAACTCAATCCTCCGCGTCTTCACCAGACGTGACCGGCTTCTTCTTCTGTATCCCATCCTGCTCATTTTTCAACTTCTCTCCATCGACCTGTCTTAGATCATCCTGTTCCTTCTCCCAACCCACCAACCATTTGCACTTGGAGTCATCAGGAGCCAGATACAAAGGACGCGTAACAGCCAGCCGCCAATAACCCATACTCCTATCACTAATGCTGATCTGTGGGTGTTCGTATGTGCGTTCGAGCGCATCAAAGAAGGCCGTGCACTCAGTCTGTAAGCCCAGAACGCGGAGACACCGGAGGATACGCGTGATGCGAAGATGATTGTGGTCGAACCTAATGGCCCAGTTGGCGAACTTCTTACGATAATCTGGCGCGCGGACGATGTGGTATGGAAGGGGTTTGGATGCAGAGACGTTGGTGTGCGAGCCTGGTGGGAAGGAGGCTGTTTCAGTCGATTCGCCTTGTTTCGACTCCGCTTCAGACTCGTTGGACACCATGAAGCCGTAGAAGCTGAGCATGCGCTCGAAGCTTCGTCGTAGGTTCTGCCGTAGCTCACTCCGTGAACGGAAGGCTTGCATTACTTCGAGGTTGACGACTGGGGCCTGTAGATGGTTAATATGCTGCAAAAGTGATTGAAGATATCGTTTCATTCTCGCTGTGCCCAGGAAGTATTCACGAGGCTGCACTTCGACATATCTTGAGTTCCACTATAGCGAATACCTCCCGGGTACGACATCAGGAAACTGGAAGGCTTACTTCACTGTTGTATGGAGAACCCTCTGGGAGCGGAAACAGCATCTGAACGTAGTTATGGGATGCTTCCAGCCTACTGTCTGGCCATGCCAGTATCTCATCGAGTTGCCGACCGAGGGCGTCCTTGGCGCGTACATCTGGGTCGTAGAAGCGGACGATGAGTTGGCTCTTGCTAGCGGTCGCAGCCTGACCAGCTTTTGAGGCGTCTGACAGGACCATTTTAGTGCGCTTGTTAGATGTCGTAGAAGTTGAATATCGATGTCGCAAACAGTGTATAAATTATGGGTGAGAGGTCAGAAGTACGCAGGTAAGGCTGCACCCTCACCCCGTGTACCTAGGTAGAATGCGCCTTCCCTGAACTGGGCTAGCTCCATCGCGCCTTCAGGGCTTTCCCTTCCCCGCCAAAACAGAAAGGGATGACTGCTACAACTTGGTGAAAGAACATGGTGCCCGAATTCTGAAGTCGGAAACGTACGTTGTTACTGGGTTATTTTTCTTATCGATCCAATCCTGATGTAGGCTACAGAGACCTGTTCAGATTCCGCCGCGGCTGTCGCAACAGCGACGATCATTCCGCATGCAACCTAGAGACACTACATACTACCTGGTAGCCGCGGGTGGTATCGCGCTAATGGTACCGCGATTGTCGTCGTCCTTCGTTCACACTCTGGCGACGTGTCTTCGCCCCATTGAAGCCCTGGAGTCCGCGGGATGAAAGCTGAACGCTGACGTCATCCGCGCAGATTGTTGAACAGCGCCGCTTCCAGACCCCATTCACCACCCGTGCGCCTTACTTGGACGCTTGGTAGCCAGCGCAAACGCAGGGTACATGATAGACAAACCTGCTCAGCCCCTACCAACGCAGGATTATTCACGCGCTATCAGCGATAATGTTTTCCTTAAATCTGACTATGGCACTGGCGAAGACTCTGCTTGCTCAACCAAACTCCTCTGCTACCCACAACCATTTGGAAGCAACTCTCTTTGATTTAGGACATATATCTTGATACTCACAATGAGCTCTGAAGGTGTGTGTTGATGGTGTTTCTTTCCGCTATTCAAATCTAACAACGTTATAGAACAGAAGCCGACACCAGAGAATGAAACCCTATTCCAGGGTTTCGAATGGAACGTCCCGGATGATCACAAGCACTGGCGACGCCTTGCCGAGGAGCTTCCCAAGCTAAAAGCCATCGGTATTACCAACATATGGCTACCCCCTGGCTGTAAAGGTGCCAACCCTCAGGGCGTTGGCTACGACATCTACGACCTGTACGATCTCGGCGAATTTGAGCAGAAGGGTCAAAAGGGAACCAAATGGGGAACCAAAGAAGAGCTACTCGAACTTACGAAGGTCGCCAAGGAGCATAGTGTGGGCCTGTACTGGGATGCCGTATTGAACCACAAGGCTGGAGCCGACCAGACGGAGAAGTG